CCGCATCCCCCACACCGCATCCCCCGCACCACATCCCCCTGCTCTGCATGCCCCCACACCGCAGGTGTTCCCCTGCTAGGAGGGGGGAAGGCTTTTCTCACATTCTTCACAGAATCACAGAATGGTCCTGCCTGGAAGGGACCACAGTGCACCTCCTGGTCCCACCTCCATGCTCAAGCAGGGTTATTCTAGAAAACATACCACGGTGTTGAAGCCAGATGGTTCTGGAGTATCCCCAGTGAGGGAGACTCCACACCCTCTCTGTTCCTGTGGTCCATCACTGCACAGCAAAGTTCTTCCTTGTGTTCAGGTGGAACTTCCTGGGAGTCATTTTGTGCCCATTGCCTCTTGTCCTTTCACTTGGCATCACCACCATCCCCTCAATACCTTCCTTTTGGATACTTCTAGACATTGACATAAACCTCTTGAACTTTGTTTTTTCCCTTTCAAGTGGAAAGTGGTGCTTCCACTTGACTTTAGGGCTGTGTCTCCAGAAGAGACCCCATGGCTGTAGCAATGAGCCTCCCCCACAGCACAAGGCAGAGTGTGGGGAGCCCCATGCCCAAGGAGCAGCAACCCCACAGCTCCCAACCCAAATGCCAGGTTTGGTGCTACCAGGCAGAAGCAGAACGGCATGGTCACAGCCCTGCCTTCAAGTGGAAATCAGCCATTTTCCTCAGGAAGTTCTGTGGGAAAGGGTGAGGAGCCACAGTGACACTGCCAGATCTCCTAAATGGATAGAGCTCTGGGTTCAAGGCCAGGTTGGATGGGGTTTTGGGCAGCCTGGTCTAGGGCAAGGTGTCCCTGTCCATGGCAGGGGGATTGGAATTAGAAGATCCCTTTAAGATCCCTTCCAACCCAAACCATTTGATGACTCCACAGGCCTGTGAAAAAAGAGATGAAAGTGTTCTCTTAGGAAGAGACAGGCCAGCTCATACACACAGGGAGAAAGACACTTCCCTTCTGACACATGGTCTCCTCCAGGGTGTTTCCATGCCATGAAAAACATAAGTACTGTGAGGGTATTTGCCAATTAGCTTGGGACTTGGCACCAAGTGCTGCATCCCCTTGGGCTGCTTAGTCCTGAGCCCTTCCCGTGTCGTGGAGGGACAGACAGCCCCTTCCACCAGCCTTTCTGGCCAACATGGGGCAGGGCCAGGGCCCACATGGGCACACAGCAATGTCCCCAAACAGGAGCCAAGCCCCATACCAGTCTGTGCAGGTAACCTCATTCCTCTGCTCTGCCCATTCAGCCCTTCAAAGGCAGAGCCTGGGGGCAAACAGAGCAGACGAGACAAGCTCTAGTCCAAACACTGGAGGCTGCTTAGTTAAGAGATAATTTTGATTTTTTTTTTTAAGTCTAGGTGATTTTTTTTTTTAATGTCTGATTTTTGTTTTTAACTTGAAACTTGTGAAAATCACAGCATGATCTTTGCTGGCTGAAAGTCTTCCCAACACCAGGGTACTGAAGTTCAGCTTCCTGCAGTGTCCTGCCAGTGCCTTTTGGTGCTGAACTTCAACCATCTCCCGGCAAGGAATGGAAGTTCAACCTTAGCAGTCTATTCAGTCTTTTGTCTTTCTGCTGAGAAAGTGAAAACACTGTTCATAGTTTCAGTGCCAACTGCAGTTTGTGTTTCAAATTAACCAAAGTTCATTATTTTACACTTTAGGTAGAAGCTGCAACAAACTGTTCACCAGCAGTCCAAGCAATAGTATACAAGCCCCTCTAGGATCCCTTGGAAGAGCTCCTGATGAGTTCACCAATGTTTGCACATTAACCTCTGGGTGAAAAGCCAGCCAGAGGGATGTGAGAACTCTGCCGAGCCCTCCAGAGCATGACACAAAATGATGCAAGTGTGGGAGCTAGGAGAGAAAAGGTTTTGTGAGCCCAGAAAAATAATAAAACGTTTAAATCCTTAATTGTTTTTCTTGAAGATTTATCCAAAATCAAGCTCTACTTAAGCCTGTGAGTTTGCAGAGCATTGTCAATAAATTAGATCATGCACACAAGGCAAGGATTTCAAGCCAAAAAGCTCTAGCCCTGAGTCGCTTAACAGCAGCACGCCCCAGAAAAACTACTCAAGATGAAACATGAGATATGTATTAATTATCAATGGTCTAATAGAAAATTTAATGAAGACAAGTATCCTCTTGCACTTTATCCACAATAACGATGATAGTACGTCAGCGAGGCGCATACCTTACAACGTAGCAGTGAATGTCAAGTCTGAAGCCATTACAGCAATTCCCCACAATAATGGGCAGCCAATGCATGGGCTTGTAGCACTTAATCAAAGTAATGACATCCATCCACAATTATTTATGTTATGGTAACAAAGAGCTGCCAAATGCAAAACAAATGACACGAGGATTTGCAAGTGAATTTCTTCCCGTAAATTCTCCTTAGGTTATGCTTTAGGGCACTCAGGATGGAAGTCTGTCTTTATCCAGAGCAATATCAGAACCATGGGGTTATTGTGCCATGTTTTACTGCCCATAAACAATGAACCCAATGCTATCACCAAAACGAGCTCTTCGGCCAACAGAACTGTATCAATATCACTTGAACTGGCCTTGGTTTACACCCAAGAGCTGTCTTCAGAATTTTACAAGAGGAAAAAGAAATTATTTGGAAGATGACCTTTGCTTACTTCTGTCTATCATGGAAAACAAAGACCCAGTTGTATCAACACTTAAACACACATTTAACTTAAAGTGTATGAGCAGTCCCTACTTACCTCAATAGGTTTGGATTAGAGCCATTATAATTACCAACCATGAATCTCTATTAAGTGCAGCACTGTTCTTTCAGGGGCATTTATGTGGGTGTTTGTATAAAAACACTGTCAAAAACTAAACACCAGTAAATATAAAATGGCAACATTCAGGTTCAAATGTAATGAACTAATTTATTTTTTTTAACACTACATCCAACTGTTTTTCACCACTCACAGATGTCACTAGAACAACTTGAATACAAAAAAATTGCTTAAGAACAATAAACTACACAGACCAGCTAATATTGATTGCTTTAAAAATGCCCCCTGTTAAACTTAAATAATAGCCAAATCTCACTGCAGTAAATGTACTTTTATATCATTAAATACTAATTTAACAGAAATGTGACTGTGCAGTGAAAAGCACTAAAATGCTGGAAAACTGAAAGATTGCCCTTTTTTTTTGCCTTATTTTTCCTGTGCATTATACAAGTCTCCAAATTAACACCTGAAAGAAGAAAACAATAATTTCATATTAGCTGGCCACGTAGTCACACAACCCAAAGCTGGGACTAAGCTTAGCTCTAAAACGCACTTTCCAAGGCCCGTGAGAAGGGAACTGCAGGATGCCTGTTGCTGTAGGACACGTGAAAGCACGAATCAATCTATCTGCTATTTGCGAGGTAAAGGAGAAAGTTTAATATCTGACTTTGACTTTTATACTTTCTCAAAGGTGACATTGGATTGGAGGGTGAATGGGCCACCTCTCCAAAGACATTGGACAAATTACTAGTATATCAAATTTTCTCCACCCCCATAAAAGAATGTAAATAAAATGTTGTTTACAGAAATTGTGTGGGAAAGTTCTCCAAAAGAATGTAAACTCAGAAGGCTTTAGAAAGAAGAATCAGGGTGACAGACGCCTCTCACCACAGGCTCTGGCCACCCTCGATGACCAGGTTGTGGCCCGTCATGTAGTCCGAGGCTTCGGAGGCCAGGTAGACCACGGCAGCCTGCAGGTCCGTGGGCTGGGCCAGCCTCCCGGCCGGAATGTCGCTCAGCCAGCGCCGCACCAGCGGCCGCAGCTCCTGCGAGCAGATCAGCGGCGTGTCGACGATGCCCCTGCAACGACCAAAGGTTTACAAAGAGTCCTGCCCAGAAGGAAAGGCAGCACCGAGGGGTGTTTGAGATGTTCGTTCAGAAGGAAAGCAGGGTAACGGTACAAAGGAGATGAGCACATCCAGCCTGCTCTGCCCTTGCTGAAAGTCATGGTGTGAACTTCCATAGCGCTCCTTTCCTATCATCACCTTTTGCTGCTGATGGGCAGCTCAGAGGTTTCCTCTCAAGTACACATACAATCACACGATCTTAGCTAATAGCACAACCCCTTTGCCTTTAGGTTACCCATAATCACCAGTTTAAATTTCTTTTCCAAAAAACAAGCACACCATTGGAAGTGCAAGTGCCTTGAATTGGGTCTGTCACGGCTCTTGGGAACTGTTGTCCTCCCACCAATTTCTCATCACTCTACAACTAATGTCATACAGTGTGCTTGTGTGCAGCCCAGAAACTGAAAACAGACCAACTCCCCATATGTCAAACAACGAGGGGAACAAAAGCCAGCACCCTTCTGGGCACCAGAGCCTTTCCACACAAAAAAAAGGAGGGGCAGAAATAAGCACAACACACCCAGTGTAATCCCCCTTAAATCAACACCTGACAAATCACACTGATTTACCTTGTCTTGCCTCTTTTACATTAATGACTCCACTATTTACTAAAACTCTGCTAAGTTTGTTTTTTTCAGGTGACCTAAAAATGATGCTGCAGGAAGCACAATGCAGGGCAAAGATTTGGCTGGCTTTTATGACTTTAACTGCAACTGATTTGTCATACTCCTCCTTAACAACATATTTGTATTTTGCGAAATGTATAATTTTTTCAGCCCCTGAACAAATATATTTACATAACTGTGTCTAACGAGAAATTACATTTAACTTCTCAGAAATGACAATAACTAAAACCTGAACTGCCAATTCCACTTCATTAGTGTGGTAGAAATGCATTCCAAATGTTAATAAAAATTCCAACATGCTGATAAATTAGCGCTTCTAAGGAGCATGTGACACCTTGGTTAACATATTCAACCTCAATTATATTTCTCTTCAGCACCCTGTTATCTGGAACCTTTGCTGGCAATCAGAGGTGCTGTTTTTCAGCGGCCAATTTTCTAGATAATGTAGCTTATCAACACTGTGGGTAAACTTGCCAATGAAATCAGGCTGCACTGAACCACACACACGCTAATTGCATCTCTTTTTTATGCATATTTACAGACTGTCACTTCAAAGAAATCAGTGGCCCATTGAGGCAGCCAGTTAGCTGGAAGAATTGCCTCTTGCAAATGAAAATTAGCAAACAAGCTAGTGATAAATATGAAATGAACAAAGTATAAAAATGCCCGTTTTGTTCTGAAACTTCATCGGCATCCCAATTTAGACTTCCAAGGAAATAATTTTTTGAAACAGACTGGATTCTGGGTATGAGATTTACCTTTTGTTTTAAATGAAGGCTGAAATCCACTATTTACTCTGTTATGAAGTGGAACTAATTCAGATTTTCCCCCAAACATTTCTGTTTGCACTAATCAGGCAGGATTTAAATATCGGCTTTATATTTTATTGTAATTGTCAATAAAGAGCAGAGCGGTTTGGAAACACTGAGCAATGCAACTCACTTAAGTTCTGGCAATGGAACAAAATCAAGCACATTCCAGGATAGGACTGCGAATGGTTTACTTATTTCCTTTAAGCAGAGCCCCCTAGTCTCCGTTCTTGCTTTCCCAAACTCCTCAAGAACTGGTTTTCTTCAGAGAGAAATGTGCTTTGAGCAGCAGACATGAAATGTATTGAATTCCTTTCCCTTACGTGCCTCTCACTGAGCTTACAAAACCATCACCATCATCATCATCATTCTGGCTTTACACTAGCAGAGACCAGAATAAGATCCATATGATTTTCTTTTTTCTTTTTTTCATTTACAGATATATTTTAACCCCAAGGGAATGCAGATTAGGGAAAAAAACACACAGTCCTCCAGCACAACAGATTTTGCTAAAAAAGAGGACGTTTTTCAATCTGTTAAGAAAAATGATCTTTGGTCTGATCACTGCAGTCTGCGAATCACCGTGCTGTGCCTCTTGCTGGACCTTTCTTTAGGTTCACTCCACATAGCAAAAATTTAGATGTGAAACCAAACTTCACTACAAATTTTTGTTATAGAAATGGGAAAAAAATATAGCGCAAAACTTAAAAGTTGCAAACACACATACTGATGGCACTATAAATATTAGGCATGTCATTGATACTACACATCTTCTGGGAAAGCTTGGTGCCAAGTTGGGCAATTTAACGTTGTCGAACCCTTTTAGGCAGATTTTAGTTGGCTCCTAACCAGTTCCAGCAAAGACAACTGCCAATGCATTAATTCCCTACCTCATCTCGTATGCAGTGCTGAGCCTATCAGTACTTTCTGTTGCATGTCAATGTAATATCAAACTGCTGGTTCCTTAATGTTAGATATGAGCATCAATATTTCATTATTGATACACAGGACAATTTGGGACATGACGAGGGGAAAAAAAAAAACCACAAAAAAAAAAAAAAAGAGAAAAAAACAATTGCCTGAAACATTTCCACTTTGAGAGACACATTAGGAAAAATATCACTTACCAGATACTTAACTGGAATTGTTACGTGCACTCAATCCCCAAATGAGAGCAAAAAAAGATTCCATCTGTGTGTAACTTGATTTCTTTCAGATGAGTTATTAATTTGAATGAGTTAAGTACACTCCACTTAATCAGGAAGTGTTTAATCACAAGATCCACTTAATTGGGACATCTCCCAAGGAATTAAGATTTAAGTCCAAAGATACTTACCAGCAACGACTGCTGCTTAATGGGGATAGTAATGCTGCTTAATTGGGATGCCTTCAGGTGATGCTGGGGTGCTCCTTCACCTGGCAGCTCTGCCTCTCCTTCCCCCTAATGGGGTGCTCCCCAAACCTGCAGTGATCCTGCTGCTTTCTGGGGCTACAAGCCTGGTGCAGCACGGTGTGGCTGCTTCCAGAGGAGCAGGGCAGAATGCAGGGCACACAAAGGCTCTTTGCCCAGCAGCCCACACCCAAATCCCTGCAGCCCATCAGGAGGGAACATGGTTCATCCCCCAGGGCTGCTTGGCCTGGCTGTAAGTTGACCTTAATATCAATAATTATTAATTAATTATTATTAATAATACCTTCCACCTGCCCATCCCAAAGGTAATCACATAATGGCGTTTCATGTCTTGCTAATCAAGAAGGCAGTAATTAGCCAAAAAAATAGACATTGATTCAGTGTAATGGCTGCAAAAATGACGTGTTCAGTGCTGCACATGTCAAAAACCAGACACCTTCCAGAATTTCTTCTTCCACCACACCCAACACACTTCCATGTCCTGGAACCAACAAAGAGACTAAGCCCTGTGGGCAGCTGGGCACCAGTCAGTGCTCTGTAAAGTTCCCTGACTACACCCAGGTACCCTCTGCAGTTCAACCCCCACATCCATTTCAGGAAGACTCCAGGACCTTCTTCATTTTTTTTGGCATCAGCTCTACAGCAGGCTATGAGGTGATGGCACTGGATGGTGGTGCAAGCACTGAGCACAGGTTCCACAATAGCAACAGCATAAGTCAGCCAAAACATCCAGGGAATCTCAGCCACCTTCTCTCCCTGGGCGTCAGGTTTGCCTGGCCAGCAAGAGAAGCCTGCATGTTCAATTTTATAAATGCAATAAATCATCCTAAGGACGCTGTCATAACATTTTATGCATTGCTAACTTTTATGCATTGCTCTGCATAAGTTTTATGCACTCATTAAGAAATTAAGTTGATAAAAAGTGACCAGATAGGAAGAGGGGGAAAAGGCCAAAAGGTTTGCATGGTGAAATAATGTTTAAGGCCAGACTGGAGCATTTGGAGCTTCAGACAGAGGCACACTGGGAGTGCCATAAGGTTTTAATGCAACCATGACTGGGAGGGGCAAAGTACTTAAGGATACAGATATTTTACTTATCCAGAGCTGATCTTGGGTACTATTGTGCCTTATATCTACATCTGCTCTCCTCAGACTCCTTAAAATCCCACCCTGTTATGACACTGAGGCTCCTGCTGGTGGTGGGTACTCAGATCAAGTGGATTGAAGGTGTCCCTGGTCCTCAGTGAGTCACATCAAGACACAGTGACACTAGTGGGGTCCACAGTTTTGGGGATGGGTCCAAATGTGCACTGAAATGCAGGTTCACATCTCACACAGACAGGACTATAAATGTGAATAGTTATTTGCTCAGAAGCAGATGTGGCTTTTGCTCATGTGATGAGGGATCTGAGCACCATGAACTGCTGCAGGCTCCTTCCTCATGCCCAGAGGTCCCTGGGCAATCCCATCACGAGGGACTCAGCCAGAGCTTGGAGGATCTGTGAGGGAAGTTCTGCTGTTCTCCAAAGCAGTTCAGTCCAGGTTCCCACCTGCATTAGGGAAAACTGCTCTGTCCACAACAGGGGACCTCAAAGGCAACAAAATATTTGTTCTCCCTGTGTCCTTCCTGGCTATTCCTGAAAAAAGACCACATCAGCTCTTTTTTTGTAAGATTTTGAGCTCAGAGCTAGAGTTTAAGACAGGTAGAGATGATCAAAATGCAATCCTGTGTTGTCTTGAAAAGTAGAAAGAGAAGCTGTCTATTTTTTCTCCATGCTCTGGCAGCTGTCTCCAGAAACATAACTTCTTTAGAAGTGAGTGCTTGCTTCCAAGCTGTACAAAACAATGAGTTTTGATCATTTGGGGCCTGTATTTTAAATTTATGTAAGTCCCTAAGAAGCGGGTAATTCCTCCTGTAAGAGCCTCCTCATTTAATTGCTGTGAATGTGGCACAACTATCCCACCTCTGCTGGTGCAGATTACCCGTATGTTTTCAGACACAGCTCCTGCCAGGTCCTGCTGAGCTTCCCTAATTCCCTTCATCTCCCCAGCTCCCGAAAGCCAGTGTGAATTCACTAGCACTAGTTGTAGGAGCACCATTACAGTCTGCTAGCATGGGCATAGGGAAAATCCCATTAGGAAGTAAGATGCTGTTGAAAGAATCTGTGGATCACGTAGAGTGACGGCTGGAGTCTCTGGTATAATTAGTAATAAATAATCATAAGGAAGACAGCTAGCACAAGCAAGGGGAGAGCAGACCAGCGGTAAAAACAGAAGCACTTGCCATTAAGCTCTGTGATTTTTTTTCCCCCTCCACTTTGTGGATTAAAATATGTAATTTGTTTTCCCTAATTTGATCTACATTATTATCTTCATTATTACAATTTAACTCCTGGGTTAAAATCCTGCCCTTCTTAGTTACTCTGATTGACTTCAATGGTCTACAGAATTTGACCGCTTCTAATTAATGCTATCCACTTGGGTTTCTGCTCAGCACTATCATGCACTGCTAATTGTTTAATAAAATGACTGGTTGGGCATGTGCATGAGAAGCAGGGAGACACAAAGTGGATCTGGTAGGAAAACTTTTCTTTGTGAATAAATACCCTAAAACACAGAGCTTGAAATCTCCAAGAATAAGGAAAAATGTAATTTGTAATAATTATATATATATATATTTACAAAACTACACCTGGCCTGTTGGAGCTGAACAATAGCTCAATAGCAGCAATAAAATGTAGCTTTTAAAGTGCCTATGTATTTGTCTCAAGTAAAAAGGGAAAAGAAGAATTGTCTGTTAAGTGTCAAAACCCCTTTCTTTAACCAGAGAAGGCTTGGACAGACTAAGGAAATATTTCATCTGGAAGGGAAATGCTAAAAACTACCCTTCACATTATTGGAAAACCTATTACCAAATGCTAAAACCTCTCCTTAAATCCCTGAGTATACACAGCAACAGAGCAGGCTTGGTTTTAAGTATTTAAACCTTTGTTAAGGAAAAGACAACATAAAAAGGGATGCAATCCACCTGCTAATTAGAAACTTTATTTGCTGAGATAGTGTTCATTTGAGCTTTGTAGAACATTTCATTCCCTTTGTAGTTTCAAAATGGGACTACATTTTACTTACGGGGAAATGCAGTTGACTTTTACTCCTCTGTCAATCCACTCGGTTCCCAATGTCTGCGTTAATTTTACGACCCCGGCTTTGGAGGCGTTGTACGCCAACTGCTTCTGTGGGTGAGGGACTACAAGGGATTCAGAAGAAGAAAATTATTTATTCTTCCCAAATTAAAATAGCTTAGGCACTACACAGACAACTCCCTGCATTGAGATGAGCTATTTGCCCTTTTGCCAGGTACCAGGCAGGGAGAAGCAAGAATTCAGCCACCTACAACAGAAACCCCTAAATATGTATTTTGCCATCTAACAATTTTATCTCAGCAGATGGGGTACTGGAAAACAATGGTGAAAATAAAAATAAAGACATATAAAAGATCCCATATTTGGGCAAAGACAAAACCTTGGGTGATGAGACAAAACTAATGTGTTAAACATATATATGCAATACTTGGCTGCTCTGAACAAAGATAAATAATCATGTACACATATGCACATTCATATATTATATACATATGTATGTTTCTATACTTGTACACTGTAATACTAATAAAATATATTACCATATAATTCTAAAATATTATATAATTAATAATATATGCATTCTGTGTTATATAATATATTAATATTATTTATTATATTATATGTGGTAGATAATACATGATAGCTGAATATGACAGCAAATTGTTTGATATGACATTATATGATAGAATATGATATAAGTGCATAAAAGATTTTATATAACATATTATATATAGCTTCTTGGAACAAATTATTCTCCCTAATTTTTAAATTATCCATAGTCTGAGGCAAACACATATTATCATCTAACTAATGTTTGTGTGGATGTGAACACAGGTGCATCCCAAAAATTCAGAACACCCACCACTTTCAAAATCTGAAGCTTTTGAAAATGTTTCAGAGATGTCACATGTCAGTCAAAGACAGAAAATGATCAGCTTGCTAATTACAACGTTCAAGCTTGTTAGTGCCGTGTGCTCGGGTGGCTCTGCCCCTCTCCAGCTCAGTGAAAGCTACTTAAGGACAAATCCCCAGTGGGTGTAAAGTGCCTTAAGCCCACGGGAGTCAATCCAAGTCAGTCCAGGTGTTGGGATTCACACCCACACAGTATCTCTCCTTGGACTTTTCTGGCTGCCATTAGGACTTCATTAAACAAATCCAGTGCAAAGCATCCATCCATAATTAGCTCAGTATCAGCACAGAGCTTCACTGAGCTGCTGACTCTGATGGAGGGAGAGGGGGAGAAATCAGGGCAAATATCAGTAGTCACAAAGACAGGCAATTCCAGCCTGTTGGGCTGGATAACGCTGAACCCTGGAAGAAAGGGAATCACTGGGTTTGCACAAGGTTCAGCAGCCAAACCCCAACTCCCAGCACTTTGATGAAGGCACATAAGCAGCACTGGTAGCTGGCATTAAACTGGTCTCAATAAATTAAGCTGATGCATCAGTTCTATATCACTCCCACCCATGGCATCCCAACACACCCACTACTGATTTTATTGACTTAAAAGTCTTGGGTTTGAATATCTCAATGTAAAGGGTGGAAAGAAGGTGATAACTGAGTTACCCAAACTCTAAAAGAACCAAAAAAGCCCTGCTGCAAAGTAGTGAGCATGTGAACAAGGATCTTTGCCTTGAACAGAGATGTTTGTGATTACATTTAAATCACACACATGATGGGAGCAACAATTAGAGGGGTGTTTTTCTGCATATGCTGCAAGTTTGCTCAGAATTCAGAGGTATTTTCCTTGCTAAAAAGAGCATTTCATGCCATGGCCCTCCTCTGCCAGCATTTATTCTGCACTCTTTTTTGTTCAATAAGAAATAATTTGCATTTTGACCAGCAGAACTTCTTTGCCCTCAGTGTGTGCCTGTTGCCCCCTGACGCAGCTCGCTGTGGGGGCTCTCAGAGAGATGGGGAACGTAATTTCTTGATTAATTGCCATGCATCAGCTCCAAGTTACATACAACTTCGGTAGTTAACCTTGTAACCTCCCAAAAGCAGTTCTTTGCTAAACTTTCCAAACATGTCTGGCTGTGATAAATCATTTTGGTGATCATTTGCTAAGAGGAGAGGAGTTCTGGCACTGGCTCTGCACCTAACAGTGCATGTGGGTGAGAGCAAGTTGCTGCAAGCCATGAGAATCAGCTTCTGACTTGGGTGATGAGACACAGCTATCAAAAGTCCTTCCATGGACTTTTGTCTTTATAAGAATATATGAAGAAGGTAACTAGGAGCATGAAATTTTCCCCTGCTGAGACACTCAGCCCCTCTCAATTGGAAGAACTCAAGGAGAAGCCAACAGATGCTGTGAATCTCTGGTGTTGGATGGGATTTCTGCACTGAGCACCCCATGCCACCTTCTCTTACCTTACCTTCTCTCTCTTACAGAAAGAAGAGCAAATCTGTAACCCTTCAAACTCATACAAAATGGGGTTTGTGAATTAAGCTATGCCTCCAACAGTGTAATCAAAAAATCTGCATTGCTAGGGCTTCTGGGAAGTGAGAAGACAGACAATAGGAGAAAGCAGATAAAAATTCTGCAAACATTAGCTGTGTTATGTTTTAAACACCTTTGTTCTGACTTTGGCTGGGGTTCTTTTTCCTAGTAACTGTTACAGCACTGTGTTTTGGATTTAGGACGGGAATAATGTTAACACACTGATGGTTTTGCTGTTGCTGAGTGGGTCTTACTCTAAATCAAGAACTTTCCAGGGCCTCCTGCTGCCCTGCTAGCGAGGAGGCTGGAGGAAAAAGAACCTGGGAGGGGACACAACCAGGACATCTGACTCTTAACTGGCCAAAGGGGTATTTCAAACCACATGACATTGTGCTGAAAAACAAAACTGGGGTGAGTTGGCTGGGTACATTAAGCATTGGTCAGTGGGTAGTGAAAAACTGCACTGTGCACCACTTGGTTTTTATGTTCTTTTTTCCTTATTATTATTTTCCTCTCCTTTTCTGTCCTAATAAACTGTCTTTATCTCAACCCACAAGTTTCACCTTTTTTTCCTAGATTCTCTCTCCCATCCTTGGAGGGAGAGAGGAAAGGACTGTGGGGTTATACCACAACAACCTGACACTGCTCTCACCCCATTGTTTGGTGTATCAGGCTTCCAGCCTGACCCTGAAGCAGCCACACAATATTAATGAGAGGTGCACACAGAGCAGAGCAGAGCACTTCCCACTGAAGATATTCACTGTAAAAATTACAGCTCTGAGTTACACCTGAATGAAGGGCCGAGCTGCCGCTGCTGGAGCACATGCCTGGAATAATTCCATTGGAACACCAGAATCAAAATGCACATATGCAAAATGTATGCAGCTTATCTTCAATTAATTAAAGCTGATTCTGAGCAGTGTATCTGGAAAAATCACAAACAAAAACCTCCCTATCCTGCTAAGTGTCTCCTCATTTTCCTGTATCTCTGAGGAAGGACTCAACCTACAACAACAACAAAAAAAATATCCCCTAACTATTTCTAGAAACATTTCATACTATGCCAGTTGGCCAACGTACTTAAATAACCAACCAACCAACATATTTATTTAACATTCAGCAGATGGACATGATATGAACATCGTGGTTTTCAGTCGTAGTTTCATAACTACTCGATTTTCTCAATGCCAAGATTCAAACAGGTTCAGAAGGTAAACACATCTCTCCATCTCTTAACTTCTGGCCTAACATGCATTAACTTTCACTGACATTTAAATGCATCTTGGGATGACCCTTCCAGGTTGCTCTCAGGGCTGCTTTCCAATGTTGCTGTTCCAGGAGCAGTACTGCCCTCAGATGTGATCCCCAGGTGAAGTCTGGGGGTGCAGCTCCAAGCTGGGGCTGGGATGGAGATGCTTTGTTGGAATGGCATCACCACTCAGCTCAGCAGAGCTGTGCCAAGCCCCGATGGAAGAGTTGGAAAAAGCCTCTCCTTAAGCAGAGCAGACCACTGCTGGGCTGCAGCAAGGCTGGGAGCTGTGTGCCAAACCAGCAGATCCCCAGTTTGTGCCAATTCCCAGAGCTTCCTAACTTTCTCCAGGATGGACTACATCCCAGGAAATCTTGCTTTGTGACAATGATGTGGATGGTGACAGCCCAAGCACAGACCAGAGCCCGACTGCTCAGACCAGAGCAGGAAAGCCTGAGGTACTTGAAATTTAAAACCTCACAATCTTTTCAGAACTACTTTTCTTGGGGAGTTTTTGTAAGTTTACAAAGTTGGTATGAAGGGATTGTGCCTGTGTTTAAGCATAAGTAAAACAGCTGGTAAAGGCACTTGAAAAAATATTAACAACAACATTATAAATGGATTTTTGAAAAACCATTTAAAGTTACTGTGCAATAAACTGAGTAGAATGACATTGAATGTCAAACTGGGCACAGTAAAAATAAACATTATTCCAAAGGAAAATAAAAAAGACTGCATATTTATGTAACATTCAGCAGATGGACATGATATTAATACAGGGGTTTTCAGTTGTACTTTTATAGCTACTAGATTTTCTTGCCTAACTTGGCAACCCAAGGCACCATTTGATTTTTGGATTTGGACAATACTGCAACAGATGTCCAGACCAATAAAATAAATTCCTAAAGGGCTATGCTTAATTTGTGTAATTGATCAATTTTTGTTACATGGGCTTCAGCTCAGCAGCCTTCCAGATTAGCTCAGCAGTAGGGATTTCATTCCATATGTTGCAATGGTTTATTGGTCCTTTTGATGACACTGCTGATTCAGCAGCGTTGGTGCAGGCACCTGTTGGCAATGAGAATGTTATAAAACCCACGGGTACCAGGGCAAATATTGGCAAAAAATCCTTTGGGTGGCTTGTAAGCTTCTTGTGGGCTCAGCTTCCCACATGCCAAGGAGTTTGCCTGGAACAGCATGGAGGGAACAGCACCTCTCCTGTGGAATCTGCACCAGAGGCAGAGGAGGTGACTCCGCCTTTTCTATAAAAAGTAATAAGTGCTCTAAAACATCGAGGACAGATAAATGTTGAAAAATGATATCAATAAAAATTTTGTAGTACATTTCCTCTAATACGAAATGTCAGTGATTTACTCCTTCCCAATACAGGTTTAATTGATTCAAATAGCATCGGTAGTAATTAAAATATGGATTCTGAAGCACAACTGTTAGCTCTCATCACTCACCTATTAAACTTGCCATAGATGCTGTGTTAATTATCTTCCCATATCCTTGATTCAGCATAATGCGGCCTGCAGCCTGTGACAGAAATTAAAGGAAAGACCAGTGACCCTTTCTGTGATTGTGCTAATAATGACATGGTAATAAATTAGTCTTTTCAGAAGAGTTGATGTGCTAACACATTTTTTTTAAGTACCTGATATAAAAACTTGGTATAAAAATGGCTGATGCAGGCAAAAAATCCCACTGCCGTTTCACACCTCTCCACTGTTGGCAATATTTTTTTTAAAAAATCATGAATGTTGGGAATTCCCCCCTCCAAGCTTTCTGGACCCTTTAAATAACCACCCTTCAAAAAACTTTTGGCCATTCTTTAATGCCTGGGATTGGGTAGCCAGCAAGTACCAGCTGCTTTTGAATGTATTAACCAAAATCTGTAATTAATAGAAAGCAAAACTCCCCCAAACTCCACAAAAACGAGGAACAATTTTATTGTGATAATTATTAATAAAGTGCTATTATACCTGAGATAAAATAAGCACTTAGAATGTTAATATTTGCAAAACTAACCAGTGCAGTATTTCACACTTACTTGGCAGCACAAAAACAATCCTCGTAAATTAACATTAAAAGTTTTGTCCCATTCCTCCAGGGAAGTCTCTTCACTTGCAGAGTTCAGATTGATTCCTGCATTGTTGCATGCGATGTGGACTGTGCCCCAGCGAGCCACGATTGCATCCACCATCCTTTGCACATCCTCAGGCTTGCTTACATCTGCTGCCAGGGCAAGGCTTTTAATGCCTGCATTGAAATAAGAGTGATAGAATCAGCAAGGGAATTCACGGGCGGGGGGGAGAAAAAAAAATTCTATTTTATGATTGTTTTTTAATCCGTATATAGAGATATTTTATATATAGCTATATTTTATACCTATGTGTGTGTATATATGCATTCCCCCTTAATTCATTGCTCCACAAATAGCAGCAGAAGGCGTGTTTGTTTCTGCAGGAGCATGATGAAGTCGCAGAGCGCTGCGAGGTTTGCGGGCTGGGGACCAGCCTGGAGCCCAGGTGTGGGAGCAGCAGCAGGGCGAAGCTTGGAACGCGGCACCATCTTCTGTCCAAAGCCTCAACTGCAGCTTCCCCAGCTGCACATGCTTTTCTTCCGCCAGGTTCCCCCCCACAAGATGCTACAGAAATCAAATTAATTCATCCCATCCTCATCTCTGGGTGAACTACAGCGTGCAGGGAGATGGGAGCCTCAGACAGAACCAAAGCAGTGGGAAGACCTGCAGGTGCACAGGTATGGCAGTCATAGTGACTTGTTTATTGCAAATCACACTGCCAGAATAATGCAAATGTCTGGCAGTGATTTACCAAATTTGAAACATGAAGAATTTGTGCATTTTTTTTCCTAAAATAATCCAGCCATTGACTTTCGTGCCGGGGCTGATCTGTAAATAACTTCATTTAATTTATTATAAAAATCAGCTTTAAATAACCTTATAGTTAGACAGCATAAGAAGCCTCCTGAGGCACCTGATGCCACTGGGATTATACCCAGCCACTGGGATTATACCCAGCCTCAAAGCCAAAAAAAGCTACACCAGTAAGGGCTGTGGTGAAATGGGTTTTAGTTAAGGGAAGAGGGAGGCAGCGAGTGGGGTTGGACCATGATCAGCAATCTGGGTAAGAAGTTGCAGCTATTAAAGCAAGATATTTTTCTTCTGTATAAATGACAAATTTGTTTCACACTGGTACCTCTTTTAGATCATTCTGATAAAACATTCAAAAGAAGGGATCAGCCTATTCCAGGAGGAGACTCTCCCAAAATTAAGCAGAGATGGAGGCTTCCAGGAAAGCAAGGCAAAGCAGGAATTGCCCAGTGGTGTGTGTGAAGAAAATGGCAGGAAAGAGGTTTTTGCATGGAAAAACTCATCTCCAGTGCCTCCAGGAACCTGTCAGAGTGCACAAACCAAGGTGATGCCACTCTGAGGTGCTAGGACATGGGAGCTCCTGTCCCTTTCAGTGATGACACCATTCTCTTGATTTCCATGCAGAGAAAAAATACAGACAACTACAAAATGGATGCATGCTCAGCCACAAAACAAGACCTCTCATTTTATGGCAGGTTTTATGCTAAATATGCTGAAAGAATAAGAATAGCCAGACGGCCCCTAATTGTTATCAAGACTTGCAATGCACAGGGAGTTACTGCAATCTTTCTTTTTCCATTTACAGATAAAATGGGTGCAAGTGTGTTACTAATGGTAACAGAAAGACTCTTCACCTGCCCTCCAACTCTCACCCCATTTAGAGCTTCATCTTATAGGTCAGTTTATAAAAATGAGACAAAAGGTGCCACATGTGAGTGTCTAGTGAAGAAGCAGTGAAACCATGCTCACTTCAAACCAGAGCCCCACACTCCACCTTAATCAATTCATCTGATACTCCTGCACTCTGAGAGGGGGGAGGAAACCACTTTCTGTCTCTCCACTGTCCCCTCAAACGACCAGTTAAAAATAATAAATAAAACAAACGATGGGGAAATAGCTTCAAATCTACAGACACAGTCAGAGACGAGACACTCAGCACAGGATGATGCTGCTGGGTGCAGTGGGGCCAGTGCATCTCCACAGCACTCAGCTCAGCTTTGTGGGGCTTGTGGAGGCAGGCTTGTCATGAGAGGGGCAGGAGAGGAGCCCAGGGGCTCTGTGCTGGAGACAATCACTGTGCTGGATATGCTGAGGTGTCCTTCTGCAGGGACACACACACGTCCCCCTGCCACGGGCTTCATCTCTGGTCTCTCAGTGTAAATGGAAGTAACATGTTGCATATAGACAAGAAGATCAGGAGTGACATTGCACAAGGCATTTGCATAGTTTACAGTGAAAATGCACATTTTAAAAATCCCATCAGACTAATTCTTCCCTTAGGGTACAGGCAGTGATTCCCCCTGAAGACAGAGGTGTGTGTAGTGGAAGGTAACCCTTAGGACTTTTTGGTAATGTTTCATCATTTTTGGTTCTTCAGTCAGGATCCATTAGTAACTGTTGAAAAAGGTATTCACACAGGATCTAAAAACAAAGAGCCCTGCAGCCAAGGGACATACACCCGAGCTGTCTAACAAAGCTAAAACTGACATCACAGGCATTCTGATGTTTAAAACTCATCATGAAATGATGGCACCATCCCAAAAGGCAGGAAAGGGCTCCTTGATAAGAAACAGAGCAGCTCTAAGCAAGCTAAGCAAAATGTTTTGAAAAAGTATCAGTATGGGAATGACTTGGGGCACTGAGCTTCCAACTTTGAGTTAGAGATCTACAGCCATAGAGGAGAAAAAAAATCACAGCCCCTTTGTCCTTATTACAGCAGGAAAAATATGTATTAATGTTATGATTGCTTCAATTTACTCATGTGAATATTTTGAGAGTAAAGCTAGCTGAACCTTTTTGTCAAAATTTATTTCCAACAGAGCATGATACTTCTTTGAAGCCAAAATGTTTCATGGAAACATTGATTTCAACAAAAAGTTTTCAAGGGAAAGCTTCTGAGGTCCAGGCTAGAATCTCTAGTTACCTCTGGAGAGAAAAAAAGATTGAAAACCTGACCTTTTCAGATCCTTCCCAAAAACGGGCATTTGGATATAATTCCTTTTCACAAAAGCTTTACAAAGTTTGGGGGTTGTTCCAACAGGGAACGACAATAAATTCAAAACCTCAAAACCCATCATGAGATGGAAGAGATGTGCCCTGACCAGCTGCACTGGTCAAATTGATAGATAATATTTGACCTCAAAGGATAAAGATGTGTAAAGAGTGAGAAGTGAGATTTTCTCTGCTTTAGACTGCAATAATATTTGCTATGCCTCATGACCTCTCCGACTGCATTTTGGAACAACCCCCCCACCTCCTCCAGGCTGGCAGCCCACTGCTGAAGGAGCAGAGATATAGGGCAGCCATTGAAGGGTAGATGATCAAACTCCTACTGAAAATGCCCTGGAGATGAGTTAAGTTCCTTTTCCAATAGGCTGTTGCCATCCAAAGTCTCATGGCTCTATCAAGTAGCCCATTTCTATCCAAATAGCTCTGCTTGATATGCAGGATCTCACAGGGAAAAAAAATGTCCAAAAGGAGAGTTAAGGTGTAGGGCACAGCTACTTTGTGCCAAAACCATATGGCTCCAGTGCATAAGTGAGTGAAAAGCTTCAGGGAAGGAGGGACTGGATGACTCTAGAATTTGTAATTGGAACTGGACACTTTCTTCTAGGTCATTATAGGGATCAGAGCTTTAACCATTGCACTGACACTCCGTGTGAAGTGCCTCCTGCTTAGCAGAGCTGGAGTTGTGCAGACAGGGATGTTTTGTTTTAAATGTTCTCTGGGGAGCCTCAGAACAATGTCCAAACCAGAATGACACCAATCCTTGTCTCTTCCTGAGACTGGGTGATATAAATGCATCTGCAGGGGCTGGTTTTGCTGGAGAATATGGTTTCTAATGGCCAAATCCCTTGCAGAAATCAGAGGGGAAACAAATACTTGGTGACTTTATCCAGGTGGGCATGTGAAAATTTCCTGTGTAATTGTCCATCTTTAGAGACAAAAAAGTACTGAACTTCGAAGAAGGCTCAGGTGCAATCTCACAGAAGAATTTATAAAATGAGTAATACTTCCTTTCTTTTATTAAAATTATATTTCCAGTTTTCTTTTTTCCCCTTTACAATTGAAGTTTAGCACAGCTCTAGGGGGAAATTCAATTTTATGTTACATTTTTCTGTTTTTACTGCTAAAACAGGAGTGGCTTGTAGAGGATTTTACCTCTTATTTGGGATTTTACTTATTATGTCTATTAGTATTTTGTTCCCATATCTGACCTTGCACACATCTTTGAAAGAGAGCTTAAAAATTACTTATCTTCAATTTAAAAGGCACAGTGAGAGGTTCAGACTGACAATACAACTACCCTGTTTTGGTGTTTTGGCTCATGGTGCAGATATAAGGTCTGGAAGATGGGGTAGTTTGTGGGCTGTTGCTGTTGAAGCAGGATGGGAATGAATAGATTCTGACTTAGAAGGCTGTAATATTCAAAATTTTGATTTATTTAAAATATATTGCTCTTTTATACAGAGCTCTGCAAGGACTAAATCTATTGGTTCTGAAGTGAAAACAACTCAAAGCATTGGTGCAGAGTGCTTGATGCACAGTGATAGAACTTAACTATAAACAATGTGAAAAACAAGAGAGATAAAGAATTATTTACATTCTTTCTAGTTCTTTCCCAGGTGTCTGCCTGGCTAGGAACTCTTAGTTTCTTTCTTTGACTGAATCTGAGTCCCACAGGCTGTATCTTTCGTTCACTCATAGTGAAGCCTGCATGATTTACTTTGAGCAGCACCATCTCTGCTCAGTGCTGGTCACACAGATTGTACAAGGTGACCTTTCTCTCTGTTCCTGTCAGCCAGGGCTCACCACTTTGGACACTTTTAGCCAGGAATGTTGTTTGGATCACTTTGCCTCTCTAGAAGGGTTTATATTGATAAATAACTCTCGCACATGGTGTGCTATCAGTGAGTGCTGGCACAGCACTGACAGGGCAGGAGAAGCTTTGTGCCCATGGCTTGAAAATCCTCTACTCTAACCACTTCCCCAGCAGGACTAGATGGGAGGGGATTGCTCTACAGAGTGGTGTGAAGCAAAGCCACCCATTGCAGTGCCCACCACGCTCAGTGCTTACCTTTGAGGCTGAGCTCACACGCCACCGCTTGTGCCTTGGCAAGGACCAGATCCACCACAGCCACTTTAGCCCCAGCTTCTCCCAGGGCGTGGGCAAAGGCTCTGCCAATTCCCTGCCCTGCTCCCGTGACGTAGGCGACACTGCCGTCCAAACGCAGCCGCTCCAGGATGCGGCACTGGTTGCAGCCCCAGAAGACATCATCCTTCAGCACTTCTGTCTGCAACAGAGCACAAACCCTGCACAGTGAGGGGCAGAGCTCGCCGAACGCTCTGAAGGACTCTGCTGGTGAGAATGAGGTGGGAGCATGAGCAGGGATCTGCGGCAGGCGCAGTCTTCTCTCTCTCAGGACCTTTTCATAGACAAGCTCATAGACAATTTCTATTTCTGCTCCTTGTTATTCCCATGTGGAATGTGTTTGGAGAATTGTTTACCTGGGGTGAGTGCTTGATTGGATTCTGGTGAGGATTGTTTGAGCTGATGGCCAATCCAACCCACCTGGGGCTGGGCTCTCAGAGAGGATCATGAGTTGTGAGCTAGGGATAGATATGGTAGTTTGAAAAAGTGATTATGTGGTTTTAGTATCTCTTTTAAATAGTATATTAATGTATTATAGTATAGTTATGATAAAGAAATCATTCAGTCTTCTGAACTGGAGTCACAAATCGTAATTTCTTCCCACTAGGTTCTACAATTACAATAGGGATCCATGTCTTCTTGGCCCATTGATTAATACAAAAAGTATCATTAATCCAAGCCAAAAAGTCCCCTTATCTATACAGATATGAAGATCAAACAGAGCACTAAGGTGCCAGACAATGGAGCAGAAGGGCTGTGCACTGGGGAGATGCTACAACCATTCCACTTTCAGGAGAGTAGGATATGGCATTTCCTAGCCTGGCTTGGGTACAAAGTCTTAGAAGTTGACTGATTAAGTCTTCCACTTATTTCATCCCCAGGGCCCAATCTTTCCCTCAGGCTCAGCTAAGAGGCGAAGAACAAGGTTCCAAAAGCAGGATTTGGGTCAAGTTGAGTGCAATCAAAATATCTTCACAAGGCTGGTGCACAAATAAAGATATCAGCCAATAACTTAAACCAAGCTGTCATCTGATCAGCTGCCATACATCATTTCCCCCCAACTGGAATCAAAATGCAAAATACAAGATGTTTAAAATATTGAGTTTGAAATGCCAGGAATTACAGGAATTACCAGTGGGTGTAGCTTTGGGAGTGCTCAGGAACTGCAAAACAACCAGGATGTTTGGGTCTGGGTTTACTGAGGTAGGTCATTATGAGTCCAGATGGGAATTTCATTACAACTGGATGATGCCCACTACATAAAACAGAGAAAGATAAAAGTACCATTTATTCTTTAGGAAAAGCAAAATGTAGGGCCATGAAAATATCCAGCTCAGAGATCACAGGAGGGATTCTGTGCTGCCTTTGAGCAAAAAAATGAACTATTTCAGAAATGTCGTCCTGGTTCTTTTCAGCTGGTCTTCAGCTCCATCTTCCCACACTCCTCTGGATGGGAAGGATGGGAGAGCACCAGGCACTGACACCTGGTGAGCAGCACACGAGTGGCTCCAGAGATTCATCACAGGACCAGCTGATCTGAAAGACTTTGCAAGGAATCAGCATTTATCAGCTTTAGTGCAACCTGGACTGGTGATGCTTAAAGGTGCCAAGCTCTAAGCTGCTAAACCCATGATCATGGGACCACATGTTTGGGTTCTTGCCACCAAACTCCTGAAAATTATTTTGTCCTTGGCAGAGTCAAAATTTTCCCAGAAATGCTCACAGAGATAAAATACCCACCTTGGATTCAATCACTGCATCTGGAGGCACAGGGCTCCTCCGAATGAGGCTCAGTCCACTCTGAACAGGCAAAATCACCTGCAAATATAAAACAATTCTCATCTGCTTGGTACCTGGCTTTCTGTCACCCAAATTCCACTGATATGAAGGATTGTCCTCAGGCCACAGTAGTTTTTCCCCTACTCCTGTTCCTTAGCTGAGGCCAACACAAATATTTCAGGCATTTGTATTTCCTCCCATCCCTCTTCCAAACTCATTGCTTACACAAATGCCAGGGAATAAAAATGCAATCTTGTCTCTCCACTTTCTAAAATCACAACATATTTTCTGTGCATCCTATTACTTCTTCTTTTTATTCTCTTTGCTGACTCCTGTTGTGCTGGTGATGCCCTACAGCCCCCAGAGCCTTTAAAGCAGAGTGGTGATTCTTTAGTTGTGCTGTAGAGCTGATTATTTACTCCTAAGTGCTCTCCTTTTATCTTGCCTTTAACACACTATAAGATGTAGATAGAGCAGGACCACTCCTGAATATAGAAACTCATACCTACAGCTCAAGTGAGGTGAATTATAATAAAATCTGAGTTCATTTTAGGTCCTTTGGATAATGGCACCAACAAAAGAAGCATTTTAAAGAGTACTTTGCAAAATCCATAGATACAGCACTGCAGGCACCTTAACCAATGGCATTGCACTAACCTGCTCAACACGAGGATCTGAATTAATCACTGAATTTAATTTTCTGACAGCTAGTACATTTTCATCTGATACATTCTCCAGGTAGACTTGTCCTTTCATGAGTGTATTCTCAACACAGATCACTGCATCCATGCTCAGCAAGTGGTTATCCATGACAAAGCTGTAGTACTGAACAGCATTCCTTTGATCAGCATCAATAAAGACTATATCAAAGTGCTCATCCTCAGCATGCAATGCCTGGGAAAAAATTATATTGGAGAAAACACTAATTATTTACCTGAAAGTTTAACATGTTGCCATTAATTTGTTGTTTATATAAACACCAAACCAGACAGAAACTTGTTCTTTTAAGGTAACATTGCTAGAAATGCTTCTGGAGATCTTGTGAGTTTTCCATGCTTTGCAAACAATTCTTTAGCAACGAATCTCCAGATTTCTCAAGGAAAATCAGGATATAAAAGAGGATGGCTCGTCCCAGCTTATGGTGTTGAGAGTCACAGCAGAAACACCTGCAAACCTTGAGTCAAAGTAAATTGATCCATCAGGGTAAGACTGACATCAAACCCTGACACTGAGGTGCTGCAAGAAGTTCTCTCTTCTCAAAAGAGCAACTATCAACAAATTGAAGAGTGGCAATTATATCAGTCTGGGGGAAAAAAGAGGCATAAGGCAGACCTGGGAATTGCAAACTAGTGTGTCCCACTTCAGTAGCAGGAAAATGGTTGAAATCCCAATTAATATGGAATTATAAAGCACATGAAAGAACAGGTCATGATAGAGATAAAGCAGCACAGCCCCTGTGAAGGAAAATGATGTTTCTTTAATCTAAAAAAATGCTTTGGATGGCTCAGCAACAGAGAGGATAAAAGAGAACTGGCTGCTATCATCTAATTGGATTTTCAGAAATGTGGCACACCTTCCCTCCAAGCAGGCTGCTGATGATAATGTATAAAAGTGTTGATGGATGACCAGATGGGAGCCTTTACAGCCTTCTCCTGTGGCAGTTAATGCACTCGCTGCCCAAGAGGCTGCTATGGAATATTTCAGATTCCATCTGGGACTATTTAACTGCATCTGTGTGTGTTGCAATGAAACAACAGCTCATCCACCTATCTCGGCGAGCAGAAATGCTTTCAAGTCTTTGCATTTCAAGGGAAAAGAGAAAAACATTTCTGTTTTCCAGAACTCACTGTCTCTACCACGACTTCTAATGGTGCTTCTTGCATCCTCATTTCCCTTTTGTGTTTAGAGACATCGTGCACAACGAGTGATGAGCCATCCCTTGGGATGTACCAGCAAAAAGCATCCACAAAGGCAACAGAATGTGAAAAACTAGTTTGGTCTGGGAGTAAGTAAGGTTAATGGCTCCCAAAGAGGATTTCAGGAGCCTTTCAGAGACAGGAGTGTGTGGATTAAACAAGGAAATTGAGGAAAGAGATACTGAACTCCTCTGTTGTGCTCTGAACTCCTCTGTTGCAAACTGGTGTCATTGTGAGCTTGTTAGTGGTGAGGGAATTAAGCCTGGATAGTCACATTTATCTGTGGATGCTTGACAGCACAGAAACTCTGCTGAAAGCATTCACGAGCCCACATTTAGGACACATTACACTATAATGAAAGAAGACCTTAAGGCCAAATATATGCTGGTTTATTATAAATGTAGCAGGAACTGGGACATCTGGATTTCTAGGACTCATCTTTTCATCCCATGACCAACAGGAAAATCTTGCCCTGGTTCCCCCTTGAGCCACATGGGTGGAAAGCAGCAGGGACATTTTCGCTACTGTGGAAGAGTATCTTATGTCAGGTTGCACCTCAGTCAATCTGTCCAATGTAGATACTTCAGGAAGGGTCAGAAGATGAAAGATGGGTGCAGGAGCCCATCATGAAGAGAGATCAGAGGTCTCATTCCTCAGGAAGAAGAGCCAAAGCCAAATTCAAGTAATTATCATGACTTATCACTACATTCTGACTCGTAACCTTCCTGGGTGGAGGAGGTGGGGGACAGACATTCAGAAACAGATGTGGCCATGGCTGAACATATGTTACTCCTGCTCTGTGGGATGGCTCCCTAATGAAAAAGAATCTCACTTTTATGCACTGACTTCATTAGGTCCATATGGGATTGTGCAGCTCTGTGGGTATTAGCTGGACTTCTCATTTCAGCCCTCTTTCTGTAATGCCTACCCACTGACAGCTTATCTCTTTCTTATCTGTCTTCTGATACAGAGAAACCACCTTTTAGCATCACAGCATCCATGCCAGGAGGTGCCTGGGTTGGATGTGCAACCAGTGCACACCAGGCTGGTCCTGGCACTGCCTGGGTGTGCCAGGCCATGGCTCCTAAGGCATTTCTCTTCTGCCACTTCACTGAGTCCTGAGTGGCCAGTCAGAAATGTCACCTGGGCATCCAGATACCCAGTGCCTGACACACTGAAGGGATAACCTGAGTTTGTCCTGGGACCTGCCATCATTTCAGCTTCTTGTTTCCACAGCTTCATAATTGCTGCTGGGTTTTCCATATTTAGCTAGAAACAGCTCCGGGGCTATAAGAGGAATCCACAAAGTTCCTTGAACCAGCCTTACCTCGAGAGCAGGCTCTAAACAGCAGGATAAGAGCCACAGGGAGAGGAAAGTGCTCTTTTTCCTGGAGCTCCTTGGCTAGCAAAACACAGGTCACCCAGGCAGGTGGTCACCATGGCCGGGGCACACACTGGAGAGGGTTTCCTCACTGCCAGCACCCACTGCTGAACAAAAACAGCCAGAAAATAAAAATCTGCTCTAACTGCAGAGCCAAGCACTGGAAAGATGGGCACAGTGGTGGAGGGGACACCTCCATGCTGTCCAGTATGGTTGAGGGTGTTTAAAATGAGGGGTTGACCACCCTGGCCCTCCCAGCACAGACTGGGCCCTGCCTGGGACCTCACAGCACTCTGGAGATGTCATTGTCCTTTGCTTGGGGAGGCAGAGCCCAAATGCCTCCAACTGTGAGGAAAGCTGAGATCCAGAAGGAAATAATCTGCCTGCAAAATATCCTGCTGAAACTAATTTCCTGAGTGTTTACAGTGCAATCCCTGCTCCTTGCTACAGAGTCATCGTAGATGGTAACAGATGGCAATAAGAGTTTTAATTCAGAACAAACTTGGCTAAAATTAATACTTTTGCTTAAAGTGAGTCATTAACTTCCTTTCAGATTAAAAAAAAAAAAAACAAAAAAAAAGTGTAGCACTGCTTTCCATTGAGGAGATGTACCAAAAGTGACCATGACAAAAGGCACAGAAGCTGATGGATACAGCAAAAAAATCAGGGAGAGGACATCCCAAATATAAACATGAATGAATCTTTTGCCAACACTCAGGGCAAACCTGATTGGAGTCCTGATCAGAGACAACACTCTCATAAGGCACATACAATCTCAATCAGAAAAAAAATGACTGCCCAGTTCCTTTGATATGGATCATACAGTCAGCATATTTGTAATAAAGATGTACTCAAAACTTATTACCTTTCCTGTGCCTTGTTCTTGACCTAAATGTAATAGCAATCCATCCTTGGGGTGCACAGAATACATGAAAAAAGTACAGTTTCCTTTTAAAAACACCATTAGAATATTTTACTGTGTGTGGACATACACTCTTGTTACTCCTAAATGCTATTCTATTGAGTACAGTTTATATTCACCAGCAAAGTGAAATCTCTAGGGAAGCCAGAGAGGGAATGCAATTTCTAGTAATAACAGCTCACAACAGTGAATACTATCCACTTATCCCCACAATTTCCAGCTATTTTGGACTCCTTTCTGAATTAACCTTTCATATCAAAAGGAGCAATTCTAGAGCACACTAGAGACTCCGACACAATTTCATGCATAATTTATTCACTCAGTTCAACATTAAACGCAGAGTCCTTGACTTTGTCAAGGTGGATTCTGTTGGCAGACTTCACAAGCAGCAAAACAGGAGAAATGAGATCTGCAGCTCAACCTCTTCACCTATTCTGTCTGCTAACAGGAGGGAAAAAAGAAGAAAGCAAACCCCGACATGCTTCCACAATGCCCTGCAATCAGAAGAACTGGCTGCAAACACAGCGTTATTTTTGTGTTGCATTTTCAATTTTAAAATGTAAGGATCAAAATAATGGATGGGAATAATTTTCTGATAGTTTGCATTCCCTCCAGACCCAATCCTGCATCCATTGTTCATCAAAAGTCCACTGGGATTTGAAGGAAGCTCTTTGTGCAGGATCAGGCTCTTGCTGGCAGCAGATCCATGGCAAGGCACATTATCCAGGCATGGCTCAACAGAGTTCAGACTGAAGGGAAGATTTGTGGGGAAATGTTTTTAAATGTGGCCCAGAATATGTTGAATAGGTAGCTAATTCCCACCAAAGACACCTGTACCTGAGACAGCCAACATTTCAAAATACTGTGCAAAATTCCTGAGGCCCTTGAGCACAGAGGATTGTGTTGTGATGTGAGCTCTGTGCTCTGCTGGGGACCTCACCCAGCTTGGCAGTGTCTGTCCCTCATGGAATTTTATCATTGTGCCCTCAGCTATCAAGTGAATCCTACCATGTATTTGAGCTCTCTGGCTCCTGTCTGATACTCAGCATCCCTTGACAGGTCAAAATCCCAGATTTGTGCTGGCTGTGATCTGGAACAAGAGGGAGGGAAACAGGCCAACCCCAGCAGTGCTGTGTGATAACACAAGGGAGCATCAGGGGGCTTCAGAGAGCCTGGCCAAGGTGCTGCCATGGACTGCTGTGCTGCCTTGGCTCTGCCCTCTGCCCGCTCCCAGCCCTGCTGAGCCTTGGATTTAGGAGAAAGAGCCAAAGCCACTGGGGGGACATCATGGCCCCACAGTCTGAGGTGCCCTGGCACAGATGTGTTGCATCCTTATCTGCTGCAGGATCTGGCAGCTTCCTTGCAAAGGGCAGAAGCAGTTGTGGGGGCAGCACAGGACACATCCTGCAGCACCTGGATGAAGCCTGAGGCTGGGATGCAGCTCCTGGGCAGAGCAGTTTTACACCCAATGGAGAGATCATACTCCTTCTGACAGTTTGGACATGCTGAATCACAGCTTCATGC